GCTACCCACAGCGCTGGTCCCTCCGTCTGGTGGAGGGGAGAGAAGGAAGAGCATCGCTGTCGGTGGGAGGAAGGCAGCGTGGAAGAGGTGCATAAATAATGGCAACTAACCCAGGTGTTTGTCATGTCATGATGGCAGAACTCAAGCTGAAAAGCAATAATCATTGAAACCAGTTTTAAATTGGTGGGGTGTAAACTAATTGCTGACAGACATTGGAGAAGAATTTCCTTAGATTTATCACTATATATCTATAAAACTTGTCCTCTAGTGGTGAGTATTCTCTATGCAGCCTTTCTTTAAATGGACTGTGTTAATTGCTTAGCTCTGAATTCAGACTGAAGAATTCCTTACTTGGAAAAATTAAAACATTTCATGTGATTTCATAATAACGTAGCTTTTCCTTGAAATGTAAAGGATTGTATAAGGCAAAGTCATTATTCAATGGCTTCTTAGCTGTAGGATGTTTTAGAAACACCCCGTGCTGCTGGTGAAAGGGGTGACCCTCCCTGCTCCCACATGCCTGTCTTTGTGCAGGCTTCCTGCCTGGCTGGCTGTGCTGCGGTGTGGGAGGGGGGGAGGGGGGGAAAGCGGCAGAAAAAAAAAGAGCACACATGTTGTTCACTAGGCGGTGATCGGACTCTTTACCTGGTATCACCTGCTCCAGCTCTAGGACGGGCTCTGTATTACACAGAAATACTCAGCTTTCCACATCACCTTCATGGGGCTTGTGTGACATGAGCAGTAACACTAGCAGTGCTTATACTGCACCTCATTGCTCCTCGCCTATTAAAGGGAACGTGGCACCCATTCTACTTTCTGCATCACTCACGGGAGTGGAAAACTCTTGTGCTAAGCCATGCTGCTTGGAGTTTGATTTCAGCAGCAGTCATGTGTTGAGTAGGCAGACTGCAAGAACAAACAAACATTTGGAGAGAAAAGTTTTAACAACACTTTCACAAGTAGCAGTGTGGAGTTTTGCCCCTACTTGGCTATCTTCCTACAGAGAAGCAGCTTCCTTCGGATATGTTTTGTTTACACAGCTATACATGAAGGGACAGTTTAGTTTTAAAAACAGAAGGTAGAGCTTGCAATTCCCCTACCCCTTGCCCCCTTTGAAAAATCCAGACTCTTCAGTAGAGGTACCCAGGCTAAAAATTGTTTCCTTCTCCTATAGCTGCTGTTCGCAGGGACAGGTAACATGTCTGTCTGTAGATAACAGCCCTGGGCTATCATCCCTGGCAGTGACATGAGATAGGTGCTTAAATAATTTTATTTCCTTCTTGTGAGCACATACCATTTTTTTTTGCCTTCCTTAGATGAATAGAAACACTATGCTCCACTACCTTGTTACCTGTACCAGCCAGGCAGGTGATGGTGGAGAATGTAACTTGCCCTTTTGTGGGAACAGTGAGCTGGGGCTGACCTGGAACAGGTTACCTCATCACAGCTGTTCTGTGGAGCCACGTGCTAAACTGCTCCAACTGAAAAAGAACTTATTTTTTTCCCCAGCAAGATTAGTTTCCTGCTACAATTCAGCACAGGGGACCTCCTCTAATGAACTCGTCTTACCTTTGTTTCCATAGGCTTTTCCTAGCCTCCAGTCCCTACTCTCCTTCAAGGAAGCACAGGAGACAGCAGGTATACAGAGGAAAGGGGAGAATTTGCACAGCAGTAAGGTGTTCTTGTTGCACTTCCAAGTCTATTCTGGAAGAAAAAGGTACCCTTAGAAAGCAAGCTCACCTTGTAACAGAACAAGAATAACTTAAAATGAGGTAGCTTGCAACACTTCATACTTTTTCATTAATCAGTAACAGCTACAGTTAACTAATGCCTCCACTACACACTGCAACACCCCCTGGGAAAGCCTGGGTTCAGGTAACACTCTAGTGCAGGCATAGCGCTGGCTAACTCTCTGGGGCAGGGCTGAGTGTGAGGAGGGCTGCACTGCCCTCCTCACAAACCAAAACCCTGAATGAGTGTGCACAGCTCTCACGGCACAGTTCGTTCAGCTCTGGGCAGCCTGTCCCCGAGCAAAACCATAGTGCTGCTTCCTCTGCCACTGCAGCGCTCCGTAGGCGTTAGAAGGCAGCTAGTAGCCAAGTCACTTCACGTATAGGCCAGGCCCTTGGAATTCATCCCCACTTTCCCATATTTGCTGAATGATGAACACAGAAGTTCAGCTGTATGTGTGTACTAACGCAGTTAGTATAAATCTTAATTTGTTTTTTTATACTCTGCAACATTTGTAGAGATTTAACACACAGTTAGTGTCAAAACACCTTGGTTTTTATTTTCATATCCTTTTTGAATCAGGTTAAGCTGTAAACAATTTATTTTTCAATCAAATACTGCCAGCTAGAATTACTTCCATTCATGCATCACTGAAAACAAAAAGGGTATTTTTTTTCTTAAGTATAGATTTTTCTTTTTTAAACAATGTCACTTTATACAGAAACCAATAGCTAGATTCGATGCACCCTGATTAGTTATGTAAACAGATAACCCAAAAAAACTCGTCAACAGAACTAATAAGTTGGTTCCTTCATAGAATGGAAATTAAAATCTCTCCTGACTTGAGGTTAACATGGTCAGGAGTATAGAACGTGGCACATAAATCCATCTAGGAGGTGTATAAATTGCACTGTATCTGAATTAACAAAGTTATGCATAATGAAATGCACAGTTTAAATTCATGCTAGAAAGCATTTTTCAATATGAAGTGGTAGCCAATTGGCAACCATAACAGTTAGGTTCTGCACCATCATTTATGGCATTATAGATAACTATTACATATAGCATACTTTAAAACCCTGAAGGATTGTGTTACTTGAAACATTCTCCAGGCAGTCATTTGGTTTGAAACATTGGGAGAAAGACTAAAGAGCTTGCCATCTTACACCAATTATGGTACCTTTAACTTTTATGAAGTAGATCAGATATGATGTGTATTTCACAGTAACAAAGTTGCTTTAATGCCTTTTCTCCAACAGTAGGATTGTGTTAGATGTTTCTGCCCTCAGATCACCATTGTCTTGGTGGTTTTCCCTTTTCTTGACTTGGGGTAACTACACTGAACACTTTTCCTGGTTTTTAACTATTCATCAGTCCTTTCAGTATATCTTCGGAGAGTTCCAGCAGAGGGAGTTCAGGGGACGGGATGTCCAGAGGGGGAAGGCTGGGTATTGGAATGTCCTTTGCCTTCCCAGCACTTGTTGCAAACTTCTGCCAAGTTGCAGCTGAAGAAGCAGTTTCTGAGTGTTGCTGCAGACCCCACAACTCTGACTTCTCAACAAAGTCAGCATCTACATCCAGCTCCTTGTCTACTGGAGATTTTTGGAGTCTAGCTCTTTCGGCTTTTAACTGCTTATTCTCTCTCCTTAATCTCTCATTTTCAGCCACAAGAAATTCTATGTGCCGTTTCAAATCTGCAATCTTGGTTGCCTGCTCTTCTATTATTGTTTTGTCATCTTTTGGAGCTTTACTCCCAATACAGGCTTCCACCGGCTCCTTCTTTTTCTGAAGCAGAAATAACAGTGTATCCGGGTCCCTGTCAAAGACACCCGGAATATCTTGTGCATGCTTCTCCGTGGAAGGGCTGTATTTCTGAGTAACAGGAACCAATAGGTTTTGATCATCAGAGTCTTCAGCAGATGGCTTATAAGAAGTCTGAAGATGTGCAGCTATTTCCTTGTCAGCATGCTGCTGGGCTTTCAGCTTTTCCTCCCTCTTTGCCCTTTTCCATCTCTCCTGGATGAGCAGTAACTGTTTCATGTGACTATCCCTTTGTAGTTCCAGTGATAGCTGAGCCTGAGTAAGAACAAGATTAAATGATTTAATGGGTGATCCCCAATCCCACCTGAATATTCACACAAGTAAAGTTACATGTATGTAAATATTTACATAAACAGCATCACAGCATGCCCGAGGGAAGGGGAGGAGCTTTTGTTATTCAGATACTAATCCAACAAGAAGTGCTCTCTGCTTGTACAATGCAACAGATTCAGATATGTCACCCAAATTTAGTGTAACTACTGGTGTCGTGAAGGAGTGAGTTAACTTTTCATCTTTGTGTTTGGTTGATTTTTTTAAGTCACTGACCAGGCTACAGTACCTCTGAGCAGAGGCATCAGGAGTTGAACTGACCTGTGATGAACACCAAGAAGGAAGGGATTCACTTGCATGCACAGCTACATAATACAAACTATTTGTATGCTTCTGTGATGGTATCTATGTAGACATATTGATAATACTCAACACTAAGCACAGAAGTGCTCCAAGGCCAGATATGTTCCCATATTCAATGAAGGGGTTGGCATGTTGGGGTTGGAGTTAACAACTCACAGGAACCACCTGGGTAAGAGGCTACCATTTTTTCAACAAGAATGACCCTTTGGAGGACAGACAGATGTCTGATCTCCAAGGGTTATTTGCTTTGATAATATTGGCTAAACTCAAAGCCTGCTGCTGGAAGAGTGCTGAGCAGACTACACAACTACATTCACAGATAGATTTCTGCAATGAGTAAGGAAAGGTTGTGCTGGAGATCCCCCAGTCAGGATGAATAAAACCAAAATTACAGACTGTAGATGAGATACTCAGCTTTGTGTCTCAGCAAAACAGCCTAAGTGCCTCACAGCAGAAGTTAAATATGAAACTAGTTTTATCACCTACTTGAAGATGCCTTGCAGACTAGAAACCATTGTTGGAGAACCCTTGGCTGGGTTAGTAGTTCTCGTCCCTACTCCAGGTAAACTTGGAAAAACTCTCAAGGAAGACTAGCATCATTGCATTTCTAAAACTCCTGCTGCAGTTGCCATGGGTTCAGAAAACTATGCAGAGGCTAATGCCCAAGAGGGGTACGATCAGTCAGGGCACAATATGACACACAGGTACACAACAGAGCTATGGCCGATTCTGGCATCTGCTGCACTCACCTGCTCTGACTGGGTCAGCTTCATAGCGTCTGTAAGGTAAGCTGCAGGAGAGAAAATTGATAAACACTTAGGACAGGGTTACAAAACCTGAATGTTTCCATGAAAGCTAAGAAAAGGCTTCAGACCTTCCATGTTCTGAATCCCCACTTAAAAGCAGTAGTCCAGAGGCCAAGTATTTACCAAGTTACAGTGGCTGGAAACACCTGCTGTTTTTCAAAAGTCTGAAAAAAATGCTGTAAGATCATGTAATACATGCTACACCCTTGCCCTGGCATCCTGTTGGCTCAGGTTGTTCCAATTTTTTTTTCAGAGGAGGACAGCAGCCATTTCCAGAAAGTTCCAGAAGAACAGCTTTCCCGTGAAGGGAAGAAACACAGCTAAGGACCAGGCTTAACATACAAGCATTGTCAGACAAAATGTGGTAAGTAAAATCCTCTCACCCATGGCACACCAGCATTATGAAGTCATGCTTTTTAACTATATTCTTGATGAAGAGGTAGAGTCCGTAGTTCCCCACTTTTTTTAATGAACTTCCCCTCCAAACCAGAAAAGGTGCTGGCTTACAGTAAGACCAGCACTTTAGACTTTGAGCATATCTTGCTAGTGCTGAAAATGACAAGATACAAGAAATTCTTAACCAAATTTGGAAGGATGTGAGATAATGGCATAGACTCATCAGATGAGGAAAAGCAATAAACATTCAATGCATTTCTGGGTTTTGTCTTGGTATATGAAATGAGGGTAACTAAAGAGAAAACTCTGCACATTAGAATTTAACTGCTATCCCTCGTTGCTCTGAGTATTCATAAATACCAAGAAACTATCAGTTTCTCATTTTATGGGGTTTTCTAGTATTTATGAATAGAAAGTGACAATGCTTGGTATCTAGGTTATGATGTTCGGAGTAGCCACTTATTTTGTCGCCACACAAGCTCTGTCACTGGAAATGTCCTACTTGTTCCATCAATTAAGACCTCCTCTTTCTTCTTCTGCCAAGCAGTTGCCGCACTGTCAGCCAGCTGACAGACTCCAGCACAAATAATTAAGCGTGACTAGTTGAATGGACAGGTAAATGCCCAAAGTCTCACTTAGGAGAGGCTGTCAATTACAGTGTCAAAGCCTGCCATACAATCTGCTGCTTTGCTTCAGTTCTGGGAAAGCTGAGCTCATCACCTGTTCTTAGCTGTCTTGATCCAGACATTAGGAAAGGGAAGTAAGTAAAGTTTTGTAAGCAAACATTTGTCTAAGTATTCCCCTTATCAAGAGAGAAAGCAGGTGACTTCAGCTATGAAAGCAGTGAGGAAAATACAAAGTGTAAAGCAAAATTGGCTTACAGCGTGTCCCCAACTGCAGTTTGTGCATGGCACAAGGGGTTGGCTTCATCTTGAGTCAAGAACTGCCTTCACAGTGATAACTACCCTCAATCAAAACAACTTTGGAAACGTCTGTCTTTAGCTACTCATATTAGAGAAAAAGTTTCCAAAATGGTGCTTGATCTGGACTGAAAAACAGATTCACGTTTTAAGAATAAAAGGAATATTTTGCAAGTAACTAGATATTCTACTTACACGAAGCATGCAAATCTAAAAACTGATTTTAAGAGCTGGAACGTGAGAAATACCTACTCACCAGCAGCTTTTTTGTGACAAGAAATTGCTTCTTCATATTTTCCTGCTGCCAACAAACGGTCTGCTTTTCTGCTCTGCTGGTGTGCCTTAAAATAAAAAGAGCATTACAGGGTTAACCAACAAATAGTTATACCTGTTTTAAAAGTAACCAGTACATCTAAAACTGTACTGATTCCAATTCTCAGGCTTTTAGGCTCCTATTCCCTTCCAAGCTTTATAATTTAATTTCATTTTTAATACTACCTTACAATAATCTGCACTGTACAGGTACGAACTGAAGTTTGTTAATGCAGCGAAGATGGTGTGTGCACAACAAAATCCTTTTCAAACTGTTCCTCAGAAAGCACATGTTGTCCTTTATAGGCAGGCACTCATTGCAATTGTGTAAAAAGACCAGTAAAGTCATAAGAAGTTATAAGTATTCAGGATCAATTTACCTGGCAGAGTGCAAGATATTTGAATTACGTTACAGCTTACAGCTGGTTTGACATTTTCTGCTGCCCCATACCCAAGAGACTTTACCTCTTAGGTGAAGAAACTGCAAAAGATCTTTTTTTTTGTTTGTTTGCAGCTTACACCAATTAATGGAAGCAGCACAGCCATAGTTAAAGATACCAAAGTCACTTGTTTGCTGTACAACAGTTAAGTCTGTACTAGCACTTGTAAACCACTAGGGTAGACTAAGGATGTTGCTCAAACCAAGCAACTGATGCAAGTATTTGCATATGCTCAGTGAGAAACAGTATTGTATAACCAGCACTGCAATATTCATGAAAGCAAGTCTTTTTGTTATTAGTACAAGACATGAATTTTATGGTCCTTTCTCCAAGACAAGCTATGTAATATGAAAGGCTACAACCACTAAATGGCAAGGTAACTTGCCAGTTTCACAGACTACTCCTGACTGCTTTACTACATGTTGAGTTTGAAGTAAACAGACATCAAGAACCGGGCCTGGACTCTGTGAAACAATACAAGACACTTAGGAATCTGAAAAAAAGTGTTTGCCTCTTTCTTTGTTTTTTGAGATTACTGTTTCTCAAGAGAGCCTTTACCAAATCTATACTGACTGAACCTGTAGGGGAAACAGAGCTGAAAGCCTGAAATCTGCCTCTCTAATTCTGTCTCTGACCCATACAAATTACTTATTCCCTCCCTTCACCCAAATAAATGCATAAAACATAACAGCCTTCAGATGTTTGATGAATTTAAGTCACTGATGCACTTCAAGCATGTTCCAGGATCAACATAAAAATGAGAGCATTTGTCCATATCCTAAGATGCTAGAACAGCTGGTTCCCTGGAGGCCTTATGGAATTACACTTTTCTCTGTCTCCTGCAGTCTTGGAATAACCACTGAAGGTCAGATAATCCAAACAGGACGGTAACATGATTCTATCAGGACTAACATGATACTTATACTAACATCCATTTAAAAAATAAGTTCCAAAATGCAAATCAATCTCTTTGTCATCTTTGTCCTCCAAATTGACATATCACCTACAGTGTTACAGTAAATTCAATTTTCTACCAGAATTTTAGCAGCTCTGATGCCACAGAAGAGAATGACTTCTACAGAAAACAATCCTTTGGGCAACAGCTGTTCTTAGGCAATCCCTAGCAGTTATATCACTGCATTTAGACACTTGGCTTTTCTAAAACCGATTGGAGTGTTCTAAAAAAACCACTACCAAACCACACAAAACCCCCTCCTTGATTCTCCACAATGAATATTTCAGTTATATTCCTTTTCCTTGTCTTCATTCAATCCTCATAGCATTGTCAGCATTCCCTGTTTCTCCTGCCCTGAGGTTAAATAATCTCAGAAGAGGAAGTGGGTTTCTATTGGAAAATCATCTATTTTATGGCCTTTTTCTATAGACTCCTACAAATGACATATGCTAGAAAGATAAACTTATTTCCCGCAGGAATGAACAAACAGTATCAGCTCATATAGTGCCATCTCCTCGGTTATTCATTGCAGCTCATCCAGTAACAGATTAGCTGTGTCATGGACATAAAACCACCTGAGCTAGCTCCTTGCAAAACAATTTTTCAATAAATTAGTATTGATACAACTACTTTTGCAAACTGCATGGGCAGGTCTAAAAAAAAACAAGGAAAGAGGAAACAGGGTAGCTAGAGACAGAAGAGCTAAGAAAGCAATTCAAGAAGCCAAGGGCCTGGTTCCATTTATTAGTTTTTACACGTAAGAATTTGAGTCTGTTTTCAAAGTTTATTTTCATAGGTTTTAAACTACTGGAGCATGATCTTACTCAAATCACTTAAGCACATGCAGAACATTTGAGGACAGTCAGTTGTTATTTGATTAAGCAATTAAATTATTTCCATTCTCAATTAACTCCCAGTGAAGCTGAAGGGAGTCTGAAGAAGTTGGGCTAGACCATGAATAAAATTAGGAAAACAACAGTCCAGAGATGCTAGCAAAAAGAAAAGCTAGTTTTTTCCGATTACAAGGTAAAAATGCCTTTCTTCCTGTTACATCAAAATATATAGATGCCAGGCCATTTTACTCTGATGCAGAGCAGCAGAATTCCCCAATGGAAACAAGAGGAACCCCAGGGGAGAAAAAAAATAATTTAAAAATCAATGTTTCAGCACATGTGAAAAAGCTAGGTGTTTTACAGTCAGTCATGGGGGAGGAATTCCTCATTTTGTACCTTTTCCTGCCAGTTTGACAAGGAAATATTTACTCATTTATTCTACCCTGTGAGTGTTTGTTCCAATTAGTTGATTGTGCAAGGACCAAGGAATTTCTCCCATTTTCTTGGTAGATTATTCATCACCAGCAATTTGAAGAAATTAGTGGAGCTGTTTCCTAGCAGCAAGTGATGAAGCTGCAACAGAAGTACTTGCATGCTTAATAGCCACATATCATGGATAAGCTTCTACATCTTATCTAGTCTGCTGATTTATTCTTAGTGCTCAGTTATGCTTAGCAACACAGCACCCAACTGTTGTTAGCAAATGTATTTTGAACTCAGAGTAGCCTGTATCCCACTATAAACCTGGGAATAGGAGAATTGGTCCTATACCATAAAGTGAAAAAATGGCTCTCAAGTTTATCCCTGGTCTGATGTCATGCTAGAGGAAGGTTTTTACACCAACAATTCTGGAGCTGCTACACTGGTTCTCAACAGATTCAAGGAGGATTGCTTTGACTTTGGTCCTGCTGCTGTGATGATTACAGAAACAGCTGCTGCATAACTGCAATGGGTTTATATATTTGACTTCTCCTTCCTCTTCCAGTTGCAGTGCTGGAAATAAATGCAGGATGTGGTGTAATAATAATTACAATTTTTTAACAAGCTATGGAATTGAAGGAGGGAAGCAGTTCGACAACTACTTCCAGATGTCCCTCCCAATCCAGACGAGCAGGAATTCCCAGTAGGCAAATGGACAGGTGTAACAACTTGACTCTCCCAACAGGAAGCAGGTGTGAGCAATGGATGACCAAGCTAAAAAGCTTCCTCACGTTGCTCCAACATATTTGTTTCTTAAAGAATTTGTGTGTGTTTTATTATGTCATCTCAACCACTCTGGATCAACTGCAGAAGCAGGTAAGCAAGACAGCTTTCCTCAAACTTTCCAGCTGTAGTGAGATGTTAAGGGATGATGATACCTGTATTTATAAGTTTGTACTGCTATTCCAAAGAAATGTTCCTATTTCCTTCTCCACCCAACTAACCCAAATCATTGCCTATGTAATCTCTGAGCAACAGAATCAAAAAATAATCAAACAATGCTGTAAAGCAGTAATGCAGGTCTCCTCTTTGCCTAGAGCTTTCTTTAGCAGCCCAAAAATTAACACCCAACTTTTTTTTTTTCCAATAAAAACTAGACAATGATGTGACTGCAGGCCACAAGAAATGAAGCCATAAGGTCCACTTGCCAGAGTTTTTGCTGCTCCCTCAAATAAAAAGCTACTTTTCTTTCTAGAGATTGTGCACTATTACAACTTAAAGGATTACCACTATATGATCCTAGCTTAGGCTGGGGGTGAAAAACAAAAAAAAGCTGCTGCTTTTCCCCTATGATTCCAGTTGATGGCTAGCTGTTAGAGAACAAGGAATAACAGGAAAAAAAATGCTCAATCCTACAATATTTTTAAAAGGTAGATGTAGTACTACCCATTTTCAAATAGGGTAAATCTGCTACCCTCTCCTAAGAGCAGTAATTTGCAACAGTCCTCCTGTAGCTGAGATAGCTAGCCTTGTGTATGTTTTGTTTTCCTTTGTTCCCCTAATGGGGACAGCTCTTCACTGGACAAAGCCTTGCACAACATGTTAAGCTTACAACCTTCTCTGGCCGGTGTAAGGGACTCCCTAGAAAGTGATATATTTTAATAGAATTATTACAGTGTCTGTCTTACTCATGAAGTTACAAATGAAGGCAGGAAAATCCAGCTACTAAAATGATGGGGCCTGAGGAAAGCTAACTGCAAAGAAGTTCTGTCTAATATAACAGTTTGTGAATATCTTAAGTGAAACCACTGTTTGCTGGTAACATCATCTATTTTATGCTATGGACTATGGATACCAGTTATCTTTGCCAGAAAGGATCAATACCTATGTTCTCTTACTCCTGAAAGCAAAGATGAAGGTATTTTTTTGAAAAATGAGGGATCTATTTGGGAATTTGTTTCCTTAAGGTTTTACAGGGCTGTTTTTCTAAGAACATATTTGGGAGAAAGGAAGAGTCAGAAAGTGCACA